GAATGGGTGTCCAGGTTGCCCTATTCCACAGAATTCAGAAAACGTACACAAAGATGACATAACTGTTTTATTTTGCAATATCAGAACCCCAGGAGCTGTAGACCTCATGACAATGCATTAGGATACAGTGTTGGGATGTGCAGCATCCTTAATCACATTGTGTTTGCTAAACCTTCACCTAAGTCAGTTAATTCTCTTTCTCTCTTTAAGTAGTTGATAGCTCACTATCTTAAATTGCACTGATTCTTCTGTGTGAAAAAAAAAAAATTATTGTCTATCTTCATCTCAGTAAGAAATATTGCACGCTAATGACATGGCTTCTTTACAGCCATGTGCTAAGTGTCTGGTTTTTGAGAGAGCAGGGTGAACAGCAGTAGAGCTTGCTGCTCGATTTTAAAATGCTATGTTGTAACAGCTCTGCGATCACCTCACTGTGCTCAGACTGATCATGAGCCAAGATTCTTTGCCCTGAAGTTCACAAACAAGTTCCCAGGATCACGACCTTCCAGGTAACTGTATGTAAAGAAAGGAAGGCAAATCCCTGACTTCATGACAGCCCTGTCGCTGCATCTTCCCTTCTGCTGTCAAACACCACAGTGAAAAGCACAGATTGGAAAAGACCGAGAGAAAATGTATGCTAATCCCTGTATCCCAGTGCAGATCAAATAAAAATGTAAAGCTATACTAGCTTAAAAGGTAAGTGTAATGATTTACATAGATGGCCTTGAAAAATTCCCTGGGGACCTGTATTACCTGAGGTATACAGCTCTGCCTTTATCTTATCTGCTAATTATGTCGTTGATGCAGCATATAAAGCAAAAGGCTTTTAAAGCATCATCTGGTCTCCTGATATAAAATTACTTTACAGGTGTCTAGGATTAGGATACAGATTTTATCTAAAAAGGGATGTTGTGTTTTCTTACTTGTTTCATTAAAGTGCAAGATTTATCTTTACATGTGGCAGGAGAAAAAAATGTAATTTCCTTTTATGAGACATTAAAATTATGAAATTGTAATAGTACATCTGATGAATGGAAGGAGAAGATGACAGACAAAAACATGTCACTACGGGACAATAACATAAAACATCTAATGTAAGCTTTAATCTCTCTCTAGTTAATGACTACATGTCCTCAATATTGCAGAATCAGGATTATGGCTCATAATTTATTTACAGTTGATAATGACATGATTCTTATAAATGAATGTCACTAAGGTAATAAACAAGTTGTTACAGAATGAGAGGACTGAGATACTTACTTGGTATCCATAGGGTTGATATTATGAAAGAAATAATGCATGTTATGGTAAAGCAGGCCAACAATGGTAATCCAAGCTGTGTAAAGGAAACAGGGGTTATTCTTCAGCTGTAAGCAAGAGACACTTCTCTCCTAGACCTGAAATTCCGTGTTAATTAAGAGCTTTGACTTCTGCAGACTTTCCTACTTTTAAGTGAGCAAGGCTATAAGAAGATATCAAAAGTCAAGTAGAAGCATGCCTGTCCTGTACAAGTGCACTTCCAAAATGAGTCGTTAAAGTAATCAGTTATCAGTTATAAATCCCACCCACAGAACTAGAAAGGGTTGCATGACACACCAGAGTCAAGGTCTCAATGGCAGCTACAGTAATCTCAAGGCTACTTCACCACCCCTACATTAACTGGCAGTTTCATGAACACAAACCCCGACAACTAACTTCCACTCTGGTTGTTTTCTGCCTATATTCTAAGTATTTAGGGGTTCTCCAGCATGCAAGTGAAGACACAGATGAGTATTTTCTGTCAGCCACACAGATGTCCTTTACCATCCCTTTTGATGGGTTCCAAGTATTTATAGTGTCAACAGTTTAAGGTGGAATAACAAAGTTTTAGATTAGCTCATTTGGACAGTGTGTGGCCTGAAGGCTGCACTTACTCAGAAGTAGCTTTAGCAGGAAAAAAGTTACACTTTTAATGGGGTGGATCGTTTCAGGATACCAAGCATAATTATATTCTGAAGAAAATTAAAAAAGAATCTGCACGGTGAGAGACTTTATAAGTGGGAAAGGAAAAAAAAGTCTCTTGCACATTATTTTGGGCATTACGAGTTGGTTTGCAATTATAGTTATTCAAGCATCAGAGCACCTGCAGTGAAGTCTCCAGCCAGAGCCCCCTGCCACTGCAAAGAAACCAGGCTGCCATCACACGGCAGGCAGACAGCTCACTAATTATCAGCGTATTGCTCACTGCAGGTTATCTGCAGCTAACTTTGCGCTTTATGCATAGGGATCAACCTTTCTTCGACAGAGGTGACTGTGGAAACTTTTCTGGGTGTGTAAACTCTGCAGGTTGGATTTTAGGGCATATAGGTCAGATCTGGAAATATTTGAGAATGCAGGTAGGTGGTTTTGCAAATGGATTCCTTCAACTTCTGATTAAAACATAGATAATTAGCTTCAAATATTTCTATTTTAGAGTCGACTAAAGTTTCAAATTTTTGCCGTACCCTGCTTTTGAGATTATTAAAATTTTAGCCTGGGTATGAATTTCTGAGTTCCACCTTTTTGCATTAACTGTAGTTAATTCTGTAGTTCATTCTATTTCTGTAGCTGCTGTTGCTTAAACCTGTCACTTGATAGTTTCATTTTATGCCACACTTTAAGAGTAATTTTGCATAAAGGGGTAAGTAATATCTGACATGCTGGAATTTCTTTAAAATATCCATTTCTGATTATTAGAAATAATTCATGAAATTATGGCGTCTCTGATGTAAGACGATGTCAAGATTAAATGGCTTCAGTCTCTATGGCCCATCTGTATTACTCAGAATTAATTCAGGTAATACAAAAATTCTACCACATTAATCATTCATTAGCATAACAGGAAAACTGCTGTGTCTTCAGAGCCAGTACGATCAACAGAGATTAGATGTTACTGGGAAAAAATAAAGCAAACCAAAATTCCTTTTCAAGCAAAATAGTTTTGTACATCCTGTTTACATGACTCCACTCCTCCCTTTAAACTTTTCCTTACCTTTCTCATGAAAAGCTTCACTGGGAATGGAAATATAACTCTGTCCTTGAGATGGAAATCGATAGTGTGACAAATTCAGACTCTGAGGATGCATTTTGACCAAGGTGTAATCTGTGTGATAACACAAACAAAAACATGGTAAAATTAATAGCCTCTACAACCTACTTGACTATTTAACTGGACTTTCCTAACAGCTATTCTAAGTCTTGAATTCAAAACCCTAGATATTTACAGAAAATATAGTAAGTTTCCCGAGTATAAAATTGCCTTTTATATCCAACACCTTTATGACAGAAAAGGCAGTAAGCACACTGTTAATATACCATGGATCACTTCACCCCTGCTCAAATACTGATCTTACCAGGGCAAGAAAACAGATTGATAATGCACTCTTCCACTGACATTTGAAGGCGTTATTTCAGACCTCCACTGGGGAATGCCAGTGTCCAAGTGAGTATGTGCAGTGGTTAACGCTACTGCTGACTGCTCAGGTTATTCGCCCCCTCACACAGGTCTCTCAACAGGGCAGAGCAGAATGCCAGAACACATAAATTACCTTTGCTGCTGTAGCCTCCAAAGACACAGATGAAATCAGGTTGCTAGGATGCTAAACGGCAGCAAAATAAAGTTCTCCTAAATGGTCAAAACTTCCTACTATTTGCAATCTCTTGCAAAAACCTTGCAAAGTTAAGGTTTTGTAGCATCCAGGCATCCGCAGCTTTGAAGTGCTGCAGAAGAGCAGTAGGCCCTTCAGCTGCCTCTTAGTCCAGTATAGTATTATTAGATGTATTCCACAGAACTCGTATTTTAAACCCCTCACCAAATAACTTCAAAGACGTTTACATACAGAGCTGATTACTTCTGGACTAACTGCACAGCCATCTTTCTACAGCTGAAACACAGGTTTGTATTCAAAAGAGAAAATTATCTGTTTTGATTTCCTCCTTCATGCTGGCAAAGGAGGTGCTGCAAGAACAGAAGCATTTAGGACACCCAGACACTCAAGAGAGAACATTTCTGCTGGTTCCTACCTGCCACAGACGACATGCCCTCAACAGTTAAAGGTAACGATTCTTCGTCTAGATTGTGCATCATATGAGCCATCACACTGTCAATAGTTTGAATTAAACTTCCAAATATATAAGCAGTCTGGGGGAAGAAGATAGAAAGAAATTGAAATTCACAGCACCAAATGCCAAGGTGCCATGTTCAACTGCTTTGTGACTCACCGTTCAACCATGCTAAGTCAAATAGGACTTTCTGCACAACCTTTTCCACATGTAGTGGAAAGATGTAACACAAATTGATGCCATCCAGAGCCTGACCTTATGAAACACTATGTTTTATAAAATGTCTCCAAATGACTCTGCTCCCACGAGTATTTGACAGTCAATTATACCCCAGATTCAGCAGAACGAGGCCAAGAACTGAGCAAATTATTTTGACAATAAAGACCAGTATCAGATCTTTATTGGAACATAAGCGGGCACACTGCAGTTTGGTCTTTTTTTCATCTTTATTAAAATGTTCCCCAGTATAAAGGTACTTTCAAAGTGTTTATATGCCTCCTGGAGAACAACCCTCCATATTGAAACCCGATGCATAAAATCTCAGCCTGAATGCGTATTTTGAGTGCACGCTTCAATGAAAAAGATCTATTTTAAGTGTGATCTATTTGCATTACAGATGTTCAAGGGGTTTAGGGCTTGGAACTTGAATAAATTAGGTATCTTTCTGCCTTAAAAACATTTTAGGCTTCAGCAAGGCCTTAGTGTACTTCAACCGTGCCTTCTCTCAGTATAAAAGCTCTCTGTTCTGAAATATGTACTTCCTTAAGATTCAAACAAAAATCTCAGGAAATTCCTTGGTTTCTCTTGCCAGTATATCTCTGCACTCTAATAGAATGGGAGAAAAAGAACACTGATATGAGTTCCTTTTCCCTGCATTAGGTTTAATCTCTCCCAAAGCCTCAGTTCACTAAACAGGGTAAGCACTACTGCACCTTCCACATGCATTGAAAATCATCAATCTACAAAACAAATACAAGCTTTTAAATATCAAAGTTCAGTGCTAAAAAAAGAGTGATTAAACACTTTGGTGACAATATCTGTCATTTTCTAAATAAAATTTTGCTTCATTCATCCTCAAATATGTGGAAACAGCAGCAGATAACGTTCCCTTATTTTAACCCTCAAAAACACATTATAAAGGAAAATGACATAATGTTTTTTTCTCTGGATCTTTACTACAAATAAGAAAGTGACATATGAGAAAATACGTAAGTCATACTGCCAAGAAGTCTTAACAAGAATAATAGAGACAACCAAAGTAACCTACAAATCTAAGCCTATTTGTCTTACCTCTTGTACATCAATCCAGTTAGGCAATAACAGAAAGTCTTCAATAACTTGTAAAAAGGCCTAAAATATAAATAAAAGTATATTATTTCATTATTTATTAAGCCAGCTACATCTCCTGGCAAGGCTCAAAGGCAGACCTCTGCTAGGATTTTCTTAGGTTCATTTAAAGGTGACAAGTGCATTTTCATTCAAACTGCGTGTTCATTGCTACCTGCCAGCACTCTCCATCATGTTCTCTTATGGTGATATTTTAAAGTAATAGTTTATCTATCCAAAGTAATACCACCATGAAAATCCCAAAGTGCAATCGTTATATTACAGCTGAGGTGCCAACACTGGAACTAAGACTAAAGTGAATTGATTTTCTCGTTTTATCTAAACTCGTATGACATTAACACATGGTTTAGTCTTCAGCAGCTCTAGTTAAACACATGGGTCTCATCTCTTTTACGATGTATTATCTACTTAACTTTTGCACTTAAAAGTTGTTTTGAAGTCAAGATCTGTCATGGTAGCCACTGTTCAAGTGCTCAGCATGACAGAATCCCTGTTCTAAAGAGTTCTTGCTGACGAAGACCAATAGAAGGAGGAGAAAAGGAAGTGCAAAAAGACACGCAAAATATAAAATAAAAAAACCACTAAGCTAGACATTTCTTGCTTAAATTTCTCTCTTTTAAAATTTCTTAAAAGCATCAGCTGAATATAGAAAAGTTCTCCTGAGAAATGTGGAAGAAAGCTGCAGTTATTTTCTGAGTATAATTTTACAAGTCATAATACATAGAGCAGTACCAGAGCTTTGTTACATGAGCTTCCTTTTGGGCAGCACAGACATTGCGGTCCCTCTCAAACATTCAGTGTGGAATTCTACCCAGCATACACAAAAGCTATCCTAAACCCAGAACCCAGCCCAAATTGCTCAGAGCATCCAGTGAGTATCTCTTTTCAGGTCATAGCATCACTCCAGAATTATTTGATAAGGGCTGTGTTAGACCACTGGACAGGGAAAGAAAGCAGGAGTGCTTGAGCTACCGAGCAGAGCAGCGCTGTAACACAAAACACAAGTCAGATTTGTCAGAAGCAATGCAATGTGTGTCAGTAATCAGAAAATTTATTGCACATCACTGAAATTTTCTTGTGCTGTGAGGCGTACGACAATCAGGACAGAGATAACTTTAGAGAAAGTAGCATGCGTGCTCAGTGCCTGTCTTTCAGGGAATTAGCTGCAGACAATACAAAGCCTAACCATCAGTCAGACAAATGACAGGGTCTGTACGTACGATCAGGACTCTCTTGTGTTTACTTCCCAAAATAGCCTTGCTAAAGATAATCATGTCACACATTTCTGTCTGCACATCACTTTCACAGCACACAAAACAGCATCAGATAGCATGAATGAGCAACCAAAAGGCAACTGAAATGATGGGGGAAATAGGTACAGTATCTGACAGGATGATGTTCCATTTGCAATTTAGAGCCCACACAAAATTTTCAGCAAAACAAAGGAAACGATGTATTAGGGCTTTTTGGAAGGGTTTTTCCTGCGTATTAAACTGTGATCCATGAAAGCCAAGCTTTACAGTTTGCAAATGCTAAGCTTTTAACACAAGCTATCAGTTGCTGTCCATGTAGTTTTCAGAAGCACTTATTTATATTGTTTGTCTGAGTAAATAATCCTTGTCACCCTAGTATTACCCATAGGCTTAAAAGAACAATCACTAGTGAGGCCGGAGCTGATTACTGTAATAATAGCTTTCTATCCTGC